GCACCAGCTGGGCAGCCAGCCCAGACGCGACTGGCCAGGGGCTGGGCGCAGCGTGCGCGCTGCTGGGTCCCCGCAACAGGCCCGGGCTCGGGGGGTTCGCGGGCGCCAGAGCCGCAGCTGCCGAGCGCCATGGCTGCTTCCTCCGGCCGCGGCACTAGGAGCTGCAGCAGCGGCTGCTCCCGAGTCCCGCTGCCCACGTGGGGAGAACAGCCGCCGCCTGGCCCCGCGGGCCACCCCCCTCCTCTCCCTCCAGGTACCGCCCGACTGAGTCCTGCCTGTGCTCGGGGCCAGGCCGGACTCTCACTCACCCTGGCCCCGCGCTCCCCCTGCGTCTCCGGGGCGTCCCTCCAGTGCTTGCGGAGGAAGGAGGGGATTGGTTTTTTTGCTCTGCCGCTGTTTTTTGTTTTGCTCCGACCCCCGCCGCATCCCGATATTTGACCTGGGTGATCTGGTCCCCCTAGCTGGACAGGAGCAGCCTCTCTCAATAAGTGGTGCTGCTTATATACCCAGCCCCTACCAGCATGACTTGCAGCTGTAAGTCATGATTTCTAAGGCAGCCCAATGACCCCCGAGGGAGATTTCCCAAGGGTAGAGGGCAGGTCACTGCCAGTGGGAGTTGGACACCTATCTGCCCTTTAACAATTTCTCCCAACATATAGCAACCTGGACCAGAGCACAACTGGAATGCAGGCCCGCCTTAAAGGGCCAGCAGACTGCTACTGTCTGCGTGGGTGGGAGGGGGCAGGAGAGGTGTGGTGGGGGGGAGCAGCACCAGGAGGGAGGGGGCAGGAGAGAGACCCAGGGGGCAGCTCCATGGGGGAAGTAGACAGGCCCAGGGGGCAGCTCCACTTGGGAGGGAAGGGGCAGGAGAGAGGCTTGTGGGGGTAACTGTGTGAGAGGGAGGGAAGGAGTGGGGCTGGGAGGGGGAAGGGGGGGTTCCCCTTATGTTGTATGTGAACATATGTGAGTCTTACTGTTTTGCATTAATGTGTGTGCCTCAGTGTCCCTGTGCATTGCACCAATGCCTAGGTGTTGCGAATAAGGGTGTGTGACTTGTGCTGAGACCCTTGGGGGCAGGTGAGGCGGCTCCAGCTGCCTGGATGTAAGAGATGGATGGTGCCCTTCGTACCCAGAGACCCAGGAGCGGGAGGCAACTAGGTGCCACTTTGCCCAGGAAGTGAGACAAAGACCAGGAGAAGGGGCAATGGGTGGGTTGGTGGGCAGGTTGCTGGAAGCTGGGCAATCTCCCGTTTGGGACTCAGATGGGGGGGGAGTCCAGTGCATCTGGTCAGGCCCCTCCCCAAATGGACTTTGCTGAAAGTCACTGATTTCTGTGCTAACAAGTTCTGTTCTATGCTGTGTTCCTGTTGACTAATAAACCTTCTGTTTTACACGCTGGCTGAGAGTCACGTCTGACTGCGGAGTGGGGGTGCAGGGCCCTCTGGCTTCCCCAAGCCTCCCGTCCCGGTGGACCCACCAGGGGGTCTGGTACAGTGTAAACAGGGATGCTGAATGCTCCAAGATCAAATCAGGAAGGCCATAGCTGAGGAGGCTCCTTGCCCTGGACAGCATGACCTGCGGGGAGTCACGACCTCCCCAGAGACCTGGCTGGCTTCATACAGAGCAGTTCCAGAGCATCAGACCTGTGACTCCAGCACAGGGGGCAGATGTGCACAGGAGTGAGGCAGGGGGAAGGAGAGAAGGCGGGGGGCAGCTCTGTGCGGGTGGGAGAGAGGGGTCAGGAGAGGGGCTCGGGGTGGGGGAAGCTCTGTGTGGGAGGGAGGGCTGCAGGAAAGGGGCTGGGGGGGCAGCTCTGCATGGGGAGAGGAGAAGGGCTTAGGGGGAGTGCCGTGCAGGGAGGCAGCTCTGTGCGGGAGGGAGGGGGCAGGAGAGGGACGTTGGGGGGGAGGGGGGGGGAGTTCCATGCAGGAGGAAGGGAGCAGGAGAATGGCTGGGGCGGGGGGTTCCGCACAGGGGCAATATGCTCAGTGCTCTCCTGCCTCTGGCCTTGCCAGAAGGCGGGGGCATCAGGGGGTAGAGGTAGGGCAGGGCAGGGCCAGAGTTCCTGCCTTGGGGGGGGGCACCCCAACTGGCCCAGGCCCCGTGGGTTCATACTGTAATCCCCCCTGCATTTAAGGCAGCCAGGGTTGCAGGGTAGGCAGCAACATGCCCTCTGACTGGCCTGAATTTCACCTAGGGTTGCCAACTGTCTAATTGCTCAAACCCAAACACCCTTGGCCCGCCCCACCTCTTCCCCACCTCCTCTCTGAGGCCCCACCCCCACTCACTCCATCCCCACTCCTGCCTCTCCCCCACTCTCACTCACTTTCACCGGGCTGGGGCAAGGGATTGGGGTGAGGAGTAAAGGGGTTCAGAGTGTGGGAGGCGGCTCCAGGCTGAGCCTGGGGGTTGGGGTGCAAGTGGGGGTGCCGGGTGCGAGCTCTGGGAGGGAGTTTGGATGCGGGAGGGGGCCCAGGCCTGGGGCAGGGGGTTGGGGTGAGGAGTGAGTGGGGGTGGGGCCCCCTTGGGCCGGACGTGCCGGCCACTTCTGGGAGCTGTGCGGGGCCAGGGCAGGCAGGGGGGAAACGTTCCTGACACTGTTTTCTCAATTCTTGGCTCTAAATTTGTTAGTCTCATAACTCTGTTGGATTTTCTTTTTGCCCAGCCTGGCAGGAAAAGGCCAGGAGACCGAGGGAGTCTAGGGACGCTGTGGAGGAGAGAGCAACTCCCTGACAGACATACGGTGAAAGCCTTGGACTCGCCCTCGCCCTTGCTGGGAGCCAGGAGCCCAAACCTCAGCCACTTTAATAGGCCACATTTTTACATGCAATCTGGAAACGCGGCCTCTGCACAGCTTACTGGATACATTTCATGGGCTAAACTGCGTGAAAGTCCTGCCCTGGGGCCGTTACCTGTAGTGGGGTGGGGGTGGTGCGTGCTGGTGCTATTGCTACAGGACACAGCTCAGTTATTCAATATTTGCATTTTATTTCAGTTGACAGCTACAGCCCAGTAATTGGGGGCCATTTCCTGGCCTCAGGCTCATGGCCCCTTTATGAACTGTTTGGGCCGGGCCAGTGTCTTACAGGGCTGCATGGCCTGTCTTGAGGGGAGCTTGTCTTTGCAGCATCTGCGGAGAGGCACTCGGCTTTCGCTGCTGCAGGCCCACGATGACAGGCTGACATCAGACACACGGGAGCCTGCAGTTGGCGATGGCCCCAGCTCTCTAGCCGTTGCTGGTGCTCAGAGGGGCCGTGAGTCTGGCAGAGCTGTGTATGGACCATGCAGGTCTGGACTGAGGGGCGCAGGCTGATTCTGCCCCGTCTCTGTCTGTTATATTCAGTGTTAGGCAAGGCCAGTCAGTCAGACCGTCACGTGCACTGGCATCGAACTCTCTTACACACAGCACATAGCAGGGCCTCTGTGCATTATAATTCACCCAAAACTCCTCTTTCTAGCAAGTCCTTTCCATCTGGCCACTGGGACCAGTAAGGTGTCCTCAGAGACTGTTTGTGTGCTGGGATTTCCAGGCAGCAGCTTACTCAGCCAACGCTGCCAGCACTGGAGGTGAGAGAGTGACTCCGAGCAGCAGGTGCTGGGTTCCTTGCGGCGAGCGGTGGATCCAGGTCCAGCTGGGCTCGAGTCAGGCCCAAAGCACCCAGGACCTCCCCACCCAACCAGCCACCCAGCTGGGTTCAAGCATGAGACAAGGCCAGCCGGGGGGGGACAGCTCAGAGCAGCGCAGCTGCAATAAATTACTTTGCATCAGGCCAATAATTTATATGGTGGGGGTGGGGTGGGTGCGGTAAAAGTCCAGGGGCTGGGGAAGCAGCTTGGTTGGCTGAGACTGCAGCCCCGCGGTCCCTGGCGCCATGTGCTGGGTACAGCACCCTCAGGCACTCTTCCACAGACTGCCCTTCTCGCCCTTCTCCGGGGGCAGCTCTTCCGTCAGAAAGAGGTAGGAGCTGATGGCTTCCCGCAGGCCCAGGCTGACAGGGGACTCCCCTTCTGGGGGTGGAGCCTCCGAAAACAGGGCCGAGCTACAGACAGAAGAGAGGGATGCTTAGCACAGTCACGCTATTCACCAGCAGCCCGGCACCCGTCGGACCTAGCCCTGCCCCCCACTCTAGCCAGTGTCAGCATCGCTGGCACCAAGGCTCAGCACCAGCCTAGAGGCAGACAGGCCCCAGCCTGAGCTGCTGCGTCCTCTTGTGTCTGGTGGGTCCTTGGAAGTCCCCTCCCCGCTCAGCACCCAGAGCCCTGCACCCTAGAGCCTGCACCCAGACGGGCCAGGAGTGGGCAGGGGGCATTGCAGGGCTCCCCCCCAATGCACAAGGAGGTCTCCACTCCTGCTCCCGCACGAGGAAGGGGCAGCACCCTCCGCTGCCAGCAGCTTCCTACCTGTCGAGCTCCTGCCAGTTGAGAGCCGATTTCTTGACGACCACAGGTGGGGCCAGGTTCTGGGCTGGGACTCGAACTGCTCCTTGGATGAAGCACGGCTCCTTGAGGAGGCAGCACAACCCATCCCCGATTTCTGGGGCAGAGAAGCAGGGAGCATCAGCAATGGTGTCCCATTCACCCGCCCCCGGGACATGCGCACCCTGCGTGCAGCACAGATACATGCCCCGGTGCGTGGCCACGCAGGCTGGCTCCTCTGCTCACGCCAAGGGGCAGCTGGAAATGGGCAGAGCCGGCCGGTGAGCGCTGCCGCTCAGGGTCACGTAGTGCAGGCTGCTCGTTGCTTGGGGGGCTGGAGCATTCTGCCGAGAGGTGCTGGGCTGCTGGACCACACCCAGCACCCATGGGCCTGCTTTGCAGACACCTCTCTGCAGCCGTGACCCCTGCAAGTCACGCGCACAGTGGGACGGGCTTGGGGTGAGCAGGGCGGAGCATGCAGCCCCCCAAGTACATTGGGGGCAGCGTAGTCAGATGTGGTCAAGCCTGGCTCTGGGCCGCACACTTCTCACTGGATCATGGGTAGTAGGGCCCATGGAGTGGCCCTGCCACAGGGTAGGCACTGGGAGGGGGCACAGCATGGAGGGGTGATACTAACCTGGGGCACTTACGCCTGCTCCAAGCAGCACCATCCCTAAAGACCAGGGTCTATTCCTGGATTCACGGCACCCCTGCCCCCCACCCAAAAATGGGGCTAAGAGCCCAGGCTGGGAAGGAACGGGGTGGGGGGCGAGCTGGAGCTGCCTGCCCAGTCCCTGTGCTCTGGCTGTCCCGGGGTGAGGTTGGCACCCAGAGCTCCTTGGTGAGTCTCCCTTTCCCCCCCAATCACAGCATCCTTGGGGCCCTGCAGGCCCAGGGCTGCGCCCATTGCCTGCCCACTTCCCACTGGGGCAGGGGCTCATTAGAAACTGGGCTGTTACCGGAGTAATAGTCCACCAGCTCCTGCAGGCTGGGGAAGGTGAGGCGTGGGGCGATGTAGAGCCAGCCGTTCTCCAGGCGGTTGATGCGATAGTGTTTGATGGAGTCCCAGGAGGAGTGGTTGGTGCGCCTGACCGACAAGGAGTAGCAGCCTGCAAGGGGAGCGATCACAATGCAATGCCTGGCTCCAGCACCAGCCGATGTGCCACGGCCGGGGACACAGCGCTGAGTTGGGGCAGGGGGCTCCTGCCACGCCAGCACATCGGCTTCATTGCAACTGCACTGGGCCCAACCCCATGGCAGCAGCCCCGGGGGGTTAGGACCATTGCAGACTATGGGCGGAGCTGAACGCTGCAAGCTGATTGGCGTAGGGAACAGACTTATTGGGCACATCGGCCAATTGACAACAGCAAAATGAGATTTTCACAAACTGGGGTCTGACTGGCCAATGTTCTGCGCCACAAGCCAAGCTGATCAGCTGCTGGACAGCCATGGGGCTGCTGGCCTAGCTAGGCTTTGCCGCCCTTACGCCGCCCCTCCCTCTTGGCCCCTCATCAGACAAGGTGAGACATCCTCTTGTCCTTGGAACAGCCGCTCCAGAGTGCCTGAGCCCGGGGCCCAGAGCCAGCCGGCTGCCTGGCTATGGGCAGCACCCTGGGCTGTGTGCTTAGCCCTTTGGAGCAGTGCGGGAGGGAGCCCCACCCACGGGAAGCGCACTGACGCACACTGGCCAGCCCGCTAGTGGGGTCGCTCCCCTGTCACAGCACGCACAGCACGGTTTTCAGTTCCTACGCTGGTAACTGAGTGCTGCAGGAAGCTTTCTGCCGGGGGGCAGTGGGGTGGGGGGGGGAGGGAAGTGTGACACAAACCCAGTGTACTCAGGAAACCGCTGGGCTCGGCAGTCAGCTAAAGCTGCAGGTGCAAGTGATCAGAGATAAGGCCACTGCTCTACACATCCCCGTCATGTGCACCGCAGATGAGGTAGGAGGCCTCAGTCAATAACACATTGAATTCAGCCCTTGAAACGGTCTGGCCCCTGAGCCAGCAGGCGCTTGCTTTGTACGGTAAGTGGCCCTGGGGAAGGCAACGGGAGCCGTGAGCACAACACGCAGCAGCTGGTGTGTGCAGGGGCAGGCTCCCACTTTTAAAGAGCTTGTGCTTTAGCTTCCAGTGCTTCCCTTGGGGACGGCGCATGCCATGGCCATGCAGGGCCAGCCGGGACCGAACAGTCCTGGGCAGCTCTGCCTGGGCCTGACTCAGCTCTGACCAGCTGGGCTGTCACTCCGCAGCAGTAGCGCTTTTGCATAGTGGGCCAGTGCTGGCAGAAAGCCAGCCCCCGCCTTGGATCGCTAATGATTGATTTAGCAAGGCTTTTGGGAAAGGTTCAGGTCCGGTTCTGGGCCCCAGCCCTGCTCCACTAGCACCGAGGGGGAGCTAACACGTCTAAGGGAGCCCAGGATTTTCAGTGAAAACTTTGCTTGTGCCCTGGGGCCGCTCTAAGTTATGTTGTGGCCATTTCAGCCCCAGCATGCTGCAGGAGCGCAGAACTGGAAAGGCACCAACACCACACCTGAGAGCAGGAATCTGACCTCAGTGGAAACAGGTGTGCTGCTGCCGCTTCACCTAGCCTGGCAAACAGCCGCCGCAATGGGTGAACTTCCCCTCACACCAGCCCTCCTTTTCGCCCGCAGCCCCAAGCAGCGAACAGCAAAGGCCCACCCCCAGGCTCCAGGCTCCCACAGGGTGTGGGGGGGCCAGTTTGGTGGCTGTGTGTATCAACGAGCAGCCTTTTAGCAGCAATTCCGGCAGCAGCTGCGGCTCTCATGCTCTTGGGCCCCGAGAGCCCTTTGCCCCGTCTCTGCCATTCCCCACGAGAGTGGCCAGCCGCCCTCTGGGGAGAGGCCAGGCTGGGCTGGGGGTGCACAGCAATTCCTTGCTCTGGTGCCACAGGTGCCAGTCCAGGCTAGACTCTGTCCTGAGCCACGCTGACGGCAGCAGCCCAAAAATCTCGGGGACCCTGGAGCCCTTCCCCCGTCAGGGACAGCTTGGGCATGGCAGGAGGCACCATGGGGTGAGCTCTGGGGCTGGGACACTGCCCAAATGTGGGGCTGGTAGCCTCGGGGTGGGCATGTGGGTGGGGCAGTGCCCAGGCATCTCGCTGCAGGACTCCTGCTCGCTAAGAGGAACCAGCCGCATGGTTCCTGCCCCTCGGCTCCAGCCCGGCTGGCAGGTGGTGGGCACTTGGCAGCGGCTCTGTGGAGTCACTTACCTTGCCTGGTCTGGCTCTCTCGGATCAGGAAGGAACCGCTGCGGTTGCACGGCAGAAGCAGCAGCTCCTCGGCTTTCTCCCGGCTAACGCCCTCATACAGCCACCTGGCAGCAATGACAGGACACTGAGCACCGGGGGTTGGCAGCAGGCAGCCCCACTCCTGTGCCATCCCAGCGCCCCGCCCTACTGCGGAGCTGCCCCCCAGGACAGGCAGGGCTCAGCCCTCCCCCACTATGGGGACAGCCCTGCCTTGGCAGGGGACAAACTGCAGGGTAGACTGGGTGGTCCCATTCCTGGCTCCCACCCGAGCCACATGTTCCCTGGGGCCCAGACTCATGGCCGGGCTGTTCGTTACACTTGGCCCAGGCTTCCTCTGGGGGGAATCACGCCATGGGACGACTTCACCCGGCAGCGCAATGCAGCTGCCTCCCGGCTGGAATGGCTGCGCTGGCTAACAGCACACAGTAACACAGTGTGGGCTTGGAGACCGGCAACGAAAAGCAACGCCCCCATGAAGGGGAATGTAGGAAGGCGGATGGGCCAGGCCAGCACTGTTACACCTCCCCCACACACAGGTGCCTTCCATGCCCACAAGTGGTCAGGACTCAATGGCACAGTGGCCAGGGCGTAACATGGTCTCCAGGAATCTAACTATGGTGTTCAGACCAGCCAAGAACCCAACTCGTCCAGCTGCATCTTCCTGGAGCGCTGGGCCTGTCAGCACTACACTAAAGGCAGCACAGAGCCCCCAGCCGGCACCACGCTGAGGCTTCAGCAACACCAGCGCCACGCCTCGCAGCACCCAGGGCTGCAAGCTGATCACTGGCCACAGCTGGACCATATGAGGTGGCAGCAGAAACTCTGCAGCTTCAGGACACAAGCCCAGTATTTGGTTTCTCAGGCTCTCCCTCAGCCTGCCTTCCAGAGCAGTGTTTGCCCTGGGGGCAGATCCAGCGGAGAGGAGCAGGACCATGGGAACCCTTCAGGAGGTGGGAAAGCGGGGCCGGGGGGGGTCTGCTCAGCTGACTTTTACTGGCTGTGAACTAACTGCACAATTCTGCAGGGCATTTGGTGTCACTGCTCCTGATGGATCGTTCTGCAGCTCCGGAGCCACTGCCGAGCGGGAGCTCTAGTGACGCTGGACGTTCTGGGCCAGCACCTACATGTTTTGGGCACTACATAAAAAGCAATTATTATAGTGGAATTATTAATTCCTAAGTCAGCTGGCATTGCTCCACTTCCCGAATGTCCCTAACCCACCCCACCATGCCTGGCAATGTGGCTATTCCAGGGTGAAAGCCCAGTGCCATGGAGCCAACTGACACACATGGGCCAATTTGAAATTCACTCCAAGGAATAGCTGAGGGTCTCCCGCGTGCTGGGCCGTCAGTGCCGCTCTGTGTGGCCAGCGCCTAGCACGGTGGGGCCCGGGCTGGGACTGGGGCTGCCACGGTACAAATGCCAAAACGTGTTCTGGAGAATAGCTGCAAAGTGGTTGGTTTCGCATCTAGCGGGGCCCGTGTTCTGCATTTCAACCCCAGCGCTGTTCAAAGGAGCAGGAGACAATAGCTGGGGGGAGGGGAGAGGAAGCTGTGGCTCAGCGGGTGTCGCTCAGGGGGTCTCAGCTGCATCGGAAAGCCTGTGGGGGCATATGAGCTCCCTGCCATCTGGGTAGCAGAGTGCGCCACACGCTCAGCTCTAGGGCTGCCTGCGCTTCACCTAGAGCCCGACCCCCTCCACCACATCCCAGCTGACCAGAGAGGCCATGCAGCTTCGCCCTCTGACAGCAGCTGGGTGGCCCCTGCATGCGTCAGCCTCGCTCCTGGGACAGGCCCCATCTCAGCCCCCCATGCCCTGAGCCCATGTGGACAGCGCCAGCAGAGACGGGAGGGGTGGCCTGGAGCATGGAGACTGCCTCCCCGCCTCCCTAGCTCTGCATCCGTGAGGCACCTGGGTGGGGCTCTGGGCCCCTGGCACTGCCTGAGTGCACTGAGCCCATGGGCACCTATGACCTGCAGAGCCCCAGGTGCTGTTCCAGCCCCGCTGCCTGTCTGGCACAGCCACGCGGGGTGACTCACCCAGCCTGCAAACAGCCAGCACTCTCCTGTGCATTCCCACCGCACCTGCTTGCTTGGGAGTGTTTGCAGGGGCCGTGCCTTCCTGTGTCTGTGCAGCACCCGGCGCCAGGGGCCCTGACTCCGCACTGCCGTGATACAGCACTAAACAGCAGCACCAATAACGCCAGGCCCGCGGGTTCTTACCTGTGCCACACCTTCGCCACGTGGCTGCTGGGGACTGAACACTCCTTGCCGGTGGCTAGCGACACCACGTTCCACCATTCCCCATCCCTGTAAGAGAGAAGAGTTTCCAGGAATGCCACAGCCACATGCCTCCAACCAAGGCCCATGGCTGTGCTGTGCTGGTAGTCCCGCAGCTTCTTGCCTGGCTATACTCCCCCTTCCCCCCCCCCACGTACAGCCAGCTATCTCAGCCCACTGAGCTCACCAAGGGCCTCTTTGATGCTGTGTCTGAGTTTCTGGGGGCTCCTGAAATCAAAGCAGTGGGGCCCGATGCCATGGGAGTTTGAAACGTGCCTGCAGGGCATGGTCCCCACACAGCCTGATGCCGTTCCCATGGGGCACGAGGCTTGCCGGGAGCCAGGAATGGGTCAGCAGAGGCTGCTCCCCTGTGATGGCTCCGTGCCCTGGCACCTGGCAGAGGCCTGTGTGAGCCCCAGGCCAGAGGCAGGCTCCAGTGCATGTCCCAGCAGGCAGGATTGCGGGGCATGGGAAATACATGACAAGAGCCTCTCCTAGAGCTCCCCAGGGCCTGGGAAAGCCGGAGGCTGCAGCGCTGGCTGCAGTGGCCATGTGTTTAGTGGCCATGCGTCTCAGGGAGGGGATGGGGGGCAGAGCCCCGATGCGCCAACCTGGCACAGTACAATGAGAGCTCAGGCACAGCCTGGTGAGCACCCCAGTGCCGGGGAGGCCAAGGTCTCCTGTCCAGGCCCTGGGGTGGCGCTTGGGGCTTAGCCCTGGGCATCCAGATTACTCCCATGTGGGACTTACTCAGATAGGACATTCAGCTGCTCGCCTGGTCGCAGGACCATCTCTGCCTCCCCACCCGCGGGGAAAGAGCACAAGGCAACTGCCACGTAGCTGTTCAGACCTGCCGAGAGACCACAGCACCTCAGCGCACAGCACTGCCCTTCCCCGCCCAAGGGGGCAGCGCCCACAGCCTGGTGAGAGGGGCAGAGCAGTGCCGGGGTGAGCGGGCCCACGACTCCCAGCAGGTGCCCAGAGAAGGGGCATGTCAGGAATAGACCCCTGGCCCAGCAGCGGTACCGACTCTTGTGAGAGGTTGTGTTTTCTTTAGAGCCCCAGCTCCCAGAGCCAGGGATGCAGGAGAATCAGGGCTTTCAGGAAAAATTCAGTGGCCAGCCCCATAATCCAGAAAGCATGGCCCCAAAGCTGAAGATCGCAACCCTGGAAGCCGAGAGCGTGACCCCCCACCCCAAGCCAGAGAGCGCGACCTCAGAAGCCACAGAGCCAACACCACAAGCCCGAAAGCAAGGCCCTGAAGCTGGAGAGCAGAGTCCCAAAGCTGGAGCGCACCCCCTCCCCCAAGCCAGAGAGCACGGTCCCTTCCACCTCAGAAAGTTACAGCCAAAGACACCCCCCCACCCAACTATTAGGATTTTTTTTTTAATTGAAGGATTTTAAGCCAATCTCATGCTTTTTTGGTGCCTGGCATGCGAGAGATCAGCAGCACAGCATTAGCCCCCACTGCAGGGGTCCTGCTCAGATTTACACCCCCCACCCATGCAACCTCCGGGGGAGGGTGTTAGCCCCACACTGGGCCCCTTGCATTTGGCACTGTGGGACTTGCCTAGTTGCAGGGGCTATAGATGACCACTAGAGGGCGCTGGGCAGGGGCAGGGTTTCTAGCAGTGCTGGGGGAAGGGTGGCATGTCTGCTCTGCACTGTACACAGCTTCCCCAGAGGCCTTGGTTCCAGGCCCAGCCAGCCACGGGTCACTTGGGTTTTGCTCATGCCCACGAGTTCAGAGAATCATAGCAGATTAGGGTTGGAAGGGACCTCAGCAGGTCATCTAGTCCAACCCCCTGCTCAAAGCAGGACCAATCCCAACTAAACCATCCCAGCCAGGGCTTTGTCAAGCTGGGCCTTAAAAACCTCTAAGGATAGGGTTACCTTGCGTCCGGATTTAACCGGATTTGTCCTCCTTTTTGTTCTAAAAATAGCGTCCGGG